GCAGTTAACCGATTACCTTCTTTTCATCCAGTGGATTGATTTGGGAATTTTTTGATGGAGTGCGCATGACGACCTTCTTCCTATTCTTGGCAATTTTCGCGTTAGCACGCTCATTTTCCAATACTTCTTCTCGTGCCCTACGCGTCAATCTTCCGTCTGACTTTGACATTTCACCTAAAAACTGCATTTCGCTACAAACTAGCGTCTCAAAATGTCTGAATGCTTACCGTGGTTTCTGAGAGCCACACAGTTTAGAACCTCCGATTTGAGTTTAATCTGCTTTTGGAAATCAACGAGAGATTCGACAACCGAAGCTTGCCTTGAGCTAAACAACGAATTGTGATGAAGGTGCTGAGTAATTACTATGTCAAACGTACTCTGCTAATTGCTTTGCCGACTGGTACTCACTTCCCTCGTTGTAAGGTAGAGGTTTGTATAGAATCTCATCTTCATCAATTCCACAGTCTTCTTGTAGCCTGGTTAGAGAATACATAGATTGAAAAAAGTTCTTTTGAGTGAAGGAAAACAAACATTTAGGAGAAAACAGTTATTTTGAATAATAAAAAAGATTTGAAATTGGGAATTGCAAAAAATCAGCATTATACTTATTTGTTAAAGTTCTTACTTCTTACACATGCTTCTTGTGGCTCTTGTCTCATCAATCAGCAGTTTAGCTCCTGCTATTGCAGCTGAGTCATAATTCAACTCAGTTTTCCCATTTGCATCGAAAGAGTCAGGATCGTTAAGTTGGAGGCGTACTTCTTCCCGACGTTTCATATATTCTTCCTCTGTCTCCATCTAGTATGCAGGTTTCCATTCAGACGTGTAATTTGAAAAGGACAAGACAAAAAGACCTTTACCTTTCCGTCGAAGCCGCGAAGCTCTACCGCCGACAGCTGGTCAACAGCATCTTTCAAAATATCCGCGCGCATCTCATCTAGCTAAAATTGGGAAAACTCTAGATTACAGGATTTAGACGGAAGAAGTCTAGACAACTAACTTTTCTTGCTAGGGTCGCTGGAGAAAATGGACGTTCGATTTGCATACTGATATTAACTGATTCACTTGATCTCCGACGCTACAGATGGGAAATTAAGAAGTGAAGATTTACGAAAGTAAGAAAGAACCAAACCTTTGGTGGAGAGTCAACGCCAACCACTTCACTTGAACGTCGCCTGCGAGAAAAACTTCTGGCATCGTGCCGAGTCATGCTAAACCACTCTACTTAAGAAGTTCAAAGTTATTTAGTCTACACTAGTCACAATTTTACACAAAAAAATAGATTTAAAAAAACAAATAAGGCAAATTGAAGGGGCACGGACGGGATTCTTCTCAATTTTAGCACAAGACGCCGTTGAAGGAAGTTTGAATGGCGACATTCGCGCCTTTATCCAGGACAACTCGTCC